GGAAATCTATAATGCAGAAGATATTTCCAGTTCTTAAAGAGGACTTGAAAAGGAAGACAACACTGAGTGGAATCAGTTAGTAAAACCTGGCTACATGCATCTGACAATCAATACTTTCAGTAGATCATAATCCATGACCTGGGAAATGCAGGGAAGTGATTTTCCAAAAGAGCAATCAGGCAGCACAGTAACTCAGCAGTGCTATCTGCTTTCTCCTCCTGAGCTTGCCAAGATTTGAGGGTTTTGCTTCCTTTCCTGGTCCCCAAATCACTCCAACCAAGCAAAATAACTTTGGTCTTATTCATCCCCAGATGCAATTGGCCACAAGAAATCTTAAAAGCTGCCCATTTCAGTCTTTCTATTTTGTTTTTAAAACAGGGTGATTATAAAATAATTTGAACATCTGGGTCTCTGTCCTTGCCAGCCTCGCCCTCCTTTATAAACCTCAGAGATGCTCATCTTCATATGCAAGAAAACAATAACTTCAAATTATTAAGCAAACAATATTAATTGCAATCTTGATCTCCCAATGTTTCCTCCTTTGTTCAGCCATCAAAGACACAGGGATATGCTCAAGATTCAAAAGTTGGGAGGGTGGGAATTTGTGATCAATTCAAAAGTAAAGTTAAGTAATACTTCAAACTTCCTGGTTTGAGGCTCAAACGACACAGGGATATGCTCAAGATTCAAAAGTTGGGAGGGTGGGAATTTGTGATCAATTCAAAAGAAAAGTTAAGTAATACTTCAAACTTCCTGGTTTGAGGCTCAAACACATTTGGTAAAGAAAAAGGATCAGGAAGTGGCACAGCTAGAGTTTATAGATTCAGTCTCTTCATGGAACTGGAGGTAAAAAGAGGCACTTACAAACTCCACTTCCAGACCAGGAAAAGCAAAACAGAGACAAAGAAAAGGAAGATTGTAGATGATCCAGAAAGACTGAGGCCTATGTAAGTGCCTACTGCCGACTAAGTCCAATACCAACCAAGAGCATCAAGTGACAAGCAGTTGTCAACAGTGTTTTTTTCCTGCCGACACTGAAATACTTAAAATTTTCACCAGTAATTCATATATAAAAGGTTCTAAGCAGCATCTGAACTAAAAAGGAAAAGAAAACTCTACTTCCATGAAGGATTTGCTTATACACAGGTGACCCTTTTGATGGCACACCTTACTAAATTAACCAGGTCAACAGAGATCCTCTCTGAATCAGGAGAGAATTGTGCCCTCTACTTGTTTTCTGGCTAACTTTTAAAGCTTATTTTAATGGTTTAAGCCCTTCCTCTCTTAACAAGCTTTACATTTAACTTTTATTTTATCTCCAGTTGACACCCTGACAGATTCTCTGGGGTATGAAATAGTAAAAGATCCATAGACTTTGGAATCAAACAGACCAGGGTTCAAATCCTGACTTCATACTTCATCTCTCTGAATCTTGTCTGTACTCTTTCACAAAATAGACTAGCAATAACTAACTCACAAGGTTCTCATGAGTATTAAATAAGATGATATATATAAAAAGTTCCTAGAACAGTGCCTGAAACACAGCTGCTCAATAAATGTTAATCATATTCCAACATATTTTACCAAAGTACAGAAAGAGAAATGTGCTAAGCATCGGTTACTTCCCAAAATTCTATCTTTAGTCCTGATCTCACATTATCCCAGATCTGCAGCTGCCTGTTGAATATCTCAATCCAATAAAGACCTTAGAACTGCTTAGAATTAGTTTTAAGCCGTTTACATTAGAAACGAGAAAGCAGATCCTAACACATGAATTAGTGTGGCCTCTGTTATACATACACAGAAAGAAGGACCTAGGTCACCCACCTGTTTCCTACATTTTCCTAGATGCTTCTTTGATGTCTCACCATCAGCTGAACTATACATAAAAGCAAACTGATCATCACACTTTCTCCAAAATTAGCTCCCTCTATGTACTTGCTAANTCCTTTGTTCAGCCATCAAAGACACAGGGATATGCTCAAGATTCAAAAGTTGGGAGGGTGGGAATTTGTGATCAATTCAAAAGAAAAGTTAAGTAATACTTCAAACTTCCTGGTTTGAGGCTCAAACACATTTGGTAAAGAAAAAGGATCAGGAAGTGGCACAGCTAGAGTTTATAGATTCAGTCTCTTCATGGAACTGGAGGTAAAAAGAGGCACTTACAAACTCCACTTCCAGACCAGGAAAAGCAAAACAGAGACAAAGAAAAGGAAGATTGTAGATGATCCAGAAAGACTGAGGCCTATGTAAGTGCCTACTGCCGACTAAGTCCAATACCAACCAAGAGCATCAAGTGACAAGCAGTTGTCAACAGTGTTTTTTTCCTGCCGACACTGAAATACTTAAAATTTTCACCAGTAATTCATATATAAAAGGTTCTAAGCAGCATCTGAACTAAAAAGGAAAAGAAAACTCTACTTCCATGAAGGATTTGCTTATACACAGGTGACCCTTTTGATGGCACACCTTACTAAATTAACCAGGTCAACAGAGATCCTCTCTGAATCAGGAGAGAATTGTGCCCTCTACTTGTTTTCTGGCTAACTTTTAAAGCTTATTTTAATGGTTTAAGCCCTTCCTCTCTTAACAAGCTTTACATTTAACTTTTATTTTATCTCCAGTTGACACCCTGACAGATTCTCTGGGGTATGAAATAGTAAAAGATCCATAGACTTTGGAATCAAACAGACCAGGGTTCAAATCCTGACTTCATACTTCATCTCTCTGAATCTTGTCTGTACTCTTTCACAAAATAGACTAGCAATAACTAACTCACAAGGTTCTCATGAGTATTAAATAAGATGATATATATAAAAAGTTCCTAGAACAGTGCCTGAAACACAGCTGCTCAATAAATGTTAATCATATTCCAACATATTTTACCAAAGTACAGAAAGAGAAATGTGCTAAGCATCGGTTACTTCCCAAAATTCTATCTTTAGTCCTGATCTCACATTATCCCAGATCTGCAGCTGCCTGTTGAATATCTCAATCCAATAAAGACCTTAGAACTGCTTAGAATTAGTTTTAAGCCGTTTACATTAGAAACGAGAAAGCAGATCCTAACACATGAATTAGTGTGGCCTCTGTTATACATACACAGAAAGAAGGACCTAGGTCACCCACCTGTTTCCTACATTTTCCTAGATGCTTCTTTGATGTCTCACCATCAGCTGAACTATACATAAAAGCAAACTGATCATCACACTTTCTCCAAAATTAGCTCCCTCTATGTACTTGCTAATTGAACCCATATTTTTCCGTTCTGACTCAAGGCCTGTGAACGTCCTTGGCAAGGCCTTCTGCCTTATTCTACACACACACACAAACCCAAGCCCCACATCCTTTGGTACCAAACTGCCGTAATTCTGTCTTTTATAAAGTTTCCTCTACAACTTTTCCTTTCAGTTTCACCTTTACGGCCGCAGTCTGGAACCTCATTACCTCACACCATGACAAAAGTGTCCTACCTAGACCCCCTTCCCCCTGCCCAGTATCAAACGCTAAGCACCACTGCCACTTTTCCCATCCCATGTCCATGCTTTTTGCAGACACCTGCAAAAATACTTCTACTGGCAAGACTGAGCCACAATTGAGCCTATGGGTGTGACCACATCTAGAGGACAAGATGACAAAGTAGAGCCCGAGGAGTAACCAAAGAAGTAGAGTAACCAAAGAAGTGGGTACAGAACCAGGAGAGTGGGCAGGAGAGGAAGGTTAAGAGGTGGGGGTAGGCACAGAAAAAGAGATAAGAGTGACAAACTTTGCTCCTTTTTGATTGTAAGTCCTCAGTCAAGTCAATGTCTGCACACCAACAAACACCATGGGGAACTGATGAGGACTGAACCATCTGCAGATTAACCAGAATCTGTGTCTAAAAGTACAAAGAACCAGAAAGCTGACCCAGCCAGGTACACAGAGGTCAAGATTACACCGAAGGCTTAAAAATCAGGGCCGGCCCGGTGGCGCACTGCGCTAGTGCGCCGCTTGGGAAGCGCGGCAGCGCTCCCGCCGAGGGTTCGGATCCCACATACAGACCGGTTCCCGCTCACTGGCTGAGCGAGGCGCGGGGGCAACACCGAGGGTTGCGATCCCGTTGCCGGTCCTGGTCCGGTACAGGGGCGACACTGAGGGTTGCGATCCGGCAACGGACACGGAAAAAAGACAAAAAAAAAAAAAATCACACGTACTGGGCAGGCCCGTGGCTCACTCCGGAGAGTGCGGTGCTGATAACACNCGTCATCTTAAAAAAAAAAAAAAAATCACACATACCAAGTACTTCACCAATATTTGTATGGGGTAGTAAGGAAATCCAGCATTTGAAATGTCATTCTCTATTGCTCAAGTATTCCTTGAGTCTGTTCAACTCTTTTTGACTCCCTTAAATGCTAGAAATGATGTTCGTTATCATATAAAAATGTGAAGATATTTATTAGAATAAAAGAATAAGTTAGTTTTCAGTAAAATGTCTTCAATTAATGTCTTTAAGAAAATTGTAAAATTTTCATCAATCCTAAAGGATACATATGAAAATGTGAAATATTCCTATTTTCCAAAGTTTTGATCTATCGCCATCATTTGCACTTTGGAAATTTTAACATAAGTTTACACCTCAAAATAATAGATTCTATATTAAATTATGTCTGAAGATCCTTTCAGCCCTAAATTTCTGTGATTCAAAAATGCAAAAAAGCTTCCAAAATATAAAAGGTGAAGATATTTACCAGTGTTCCAGTTAAATCTACAACAAATAGAAAAATATGGGTAATGATTAAGTCACTTCAAAGATAATGTCTCTAAATTGGAAAGAAAAAAAAAAAACCTCTTCTGGCTATAATGCCCATCAAAAAACTTATCTTAACTGCAGGACGTGAAGATTCAGACAAAACGGGGCTGGGAGTAAACCTGAGCGCGCGTCCCCCGTGGCTGACACAAAGGAAACCCCGTTCGGTCTCGCTACCGGCAAGTCCTAACACAGATGGCAGGCCGCCTACCTCCCTGTCGCCGCGCCACAGCCGCTGCTCGGACACCGGGAAGCCGGTCTCTGCGAAGATGCGCTCCTTGACGCCGCGCGCGGTGCAGGACACCGGAACCGCCACGGTCCTGCAGCCCACGCAGCCGGGGAGGACAGTCACCCGGACCCACCTGTGCAAAAGGCAAAGGGACCCTCAGTGGGACCACGCGGGTGGACGGGCCCAGCCCGCGGCACC